GAGTAGGGAGGCAGAGTGAGCCTGTCCCTTTGCAACTATGATATACCTCTTCTCAATAAGGAGTTCTAGGAGAGTGATTTCAAAATCTGGTCCTCGGAACACCTGCTTTGGATTCACCTGGGGGTGTCTGCTAAAAATGCAGATTTTGGGGGCCTGGCCCAGAGCTCTTGAGACAGACTCTGGGAGCCTGGGACCTGGAAATCAGCGTGGTAACTGGTTCCCTGGGATTCTGGTGGTCAACATGTTTCAGATCTTCTGAACAAAGCCAAAGCTGAAATGGTGTGTATGACCAGGGGACACTCTTCCAAAAGGTCACTGGGGTTCCTCGGCCTGGTGAGGCCAGGTGGTCTAGAGGGACAGACAGATGTCTGCAGCTCCAGGAGGTCATGGACAATGAGAACAACCCCACTCTGTGCCCTCTGCCTAGCATAGTCTGTCTAGAATGGAGCTGGCAGGTGGCTGTGGCTCCAGCAGCTTGGTCCAGGGCAGGAGCAGAGGGATGCCTTGTCGGGGAGGAAGCCTCAGGGTGTTGGGACTAAGTGATAGCTGTGACAGGCTCATTCAGTGTCTGGGCCACCTTGCCCTGCCTCCCCCACCCAGCACAGAGACCTCAGCCCAGCACAGGGTCGTCCAGGGCTCTTGTCCCAGCCACGCCGGCTGGCACAGATTTCAGTGTTTTGGGGCAGAAGGATGATCCTCTCCCTCCAGAATATGCTCGTTTGTGAACCGCTGTTTGACTGTCTGGATCTTGTGTAGAAATGCTGATCAGAGCTCACTCCATCCTCGTGGCTTCAGTGGCTCTGGTTTTAATAGTTACAATTTTCCCTCTGCACAAGTTGCTTAGCAACTGAGGGAGGGAGAAGAACAGAAAGCCATGCTTGGGATAAGGGAAGTGACATTAGCCACCCCAAAGACAAGCAACAGGAGGCTGTGGAGTGCCTCAGAATCCTGGACTTCTGTAGCCTTTCTCTCATTGGCATAGCTCTGCTTTTGTCCCCAAGTCCCTCATAAGCCTCCTGGTGTGCAGAGAAATCAGCTGCACAGCATTCAGGTGATCCCTGAAAGTAACCACACATCAATAATAATGATAATAATGAACAACTTTGTGTAAACCATTGGAGTTGTCTGCTTCATTCTTTGGTCTCAGGAGACCCATCAGTATGGTGGGCATCATCGTACTGTCAGCTCACACTCAGACACCTTGGAAGCTGGAGGTTTCCTGGGAATGTAGCCCAGCCGCAGAAGAGGGGTGACAGAAGTCTTAGAAGCCCTGCCACTTCCCCCTCTACCAGCTATTTCCATCAAGACCT